CTCCCCGGATGCCACACAGTAGCAGCCCACTGCTCTCGAAGGGTTAGATGCAGAGTGTTCACCTCTGTACTTGTGACAGCATAATAACATTAAAAAGCTGGAAATGTAAAAGTTGCAGGATACCGGCCCTCAGCAGCTGGAATTGTCCACCTCCGTTTCAGAGGTTTCCCTGCTTTTTTTCCCCAAGACGCTTATAGATGTTGTCTCCAAAGTCTCCAGTAGCAGAAAAAAGTGGCTAGATTTGGCGCTAGGCACTTTTTCGAAATCAAAGTGCTAGAGGGGTCTGAAAAGTGGCTAAATATAGAGACTAAAGCGCTAAGTTGGCAACACTGCTCTTTGCATGGTTTGTTTTCAAATGGTTTGCTGCTGTCTGTTTGGACCTTTCTGAACATGTGCAGCAAATTAACTGATCAGATAGGTGAATAGTTTTATTAACCATACATGGAAACAGAGTTTTATGGGGCCCCTGGGAACTTGGGGCCCTAGGTATGGTGTCCAGGTATGGTGATTCTGTTTGAAGGTGGAAATCTGCTTCCAGGTTCCTGGTACCATCAGGTTCCCTCATGTGGGAACTATATAGATTATATTTACTGTGGAACCAAGATGAAAGCACTTTCTAAAAGCAGAATGTTTGCTGCAGCTGCCCTTAAACCCTAAAATCATTCTATAGATAGAAAGTTGTGACAGTGAACCGTTTGTTCTCACGGAGCACTGAGAGCAGCTAGCTACCGTTAGCTGCTGTTAGCTACTGTTAGCTCGGTGCAGTTGTTAGCTCGGTGCAGTTGTTAGCTGCGGCTCGCGCCTCGGCCCAACAGCTTCACCGCTGATTACCAACAAGCCTCCCCCGTAGAACCATGGCCTCATGGCGGCTTCAGGTCGATATCAGCACCGTTACTCCCACAGAAGGCTGCCTCTCGCTGGGTAACGGTTCGGCTGATAATGTCCGCTGCTAACCCAGGCCCAGCATGGCCCGCTGACAGGCTAGCGGCGTCTATTATCGGACGCAGGTGGACTATCCGTCACGCCTGTCAAACTGCACCCAGATATCGTCCCGAGTTATTTCCACATGTCTTTAATAGAGTCAAACAAATGTCATTTAATCATCTTTACGTGTCAAACCCTGTAGATATCCGCGTTAGTTTGAAACCTGCTTTGCTGTGTTTGATTCTGACCGATGATCTGAACGGGCTAACGACGGATCATTGATTGAAGAGCATTTTATTGTTTTAATTATTAATTTAACTGTCATTCTAGGATATAAGCCCATAAAACGCACCTAGTGGAGCTTTGGGAAGTTTTACAAACATCGCAGCTGCGTGAAAACAATGAAAATACCTGAGCTTCGTGTTTACTGGCTGCAGCCAAAATCCGCTCCTGAACCAAAACATGATAAACTAAAGCTTTGAAATTTATCCAGAGATAAGGCGAAATTAGCGGAGCAGCAGAGCAGCGGTTAGTTTAAGGTCAAAGCAAACCAGCGGGTCACAGGAGGACGTGTCCGATGATGGACTCACGTCCCTTAGCTTCCAGACAAAGACAGCAGCTAGCCCGCTAAGCTAACTGGGAGGATGGCCGCCTAGCATCGCTCAGAGGACCGATCCACTCACCCGCTCCGGGAAATATTCATTCACTGTCCGCAGCTTCCTTTAGTCACACCGATGACAACCAAGACAAGCTTCCTGAGCTGCTGAGTCAAAGCGGTCAACGTGCTCTCAGTTCAATGGACAGCAGCCATCACAGTCAGCTCCGCGGGAAGGACACAGAAAAAGCCGAGAAACAGCCGGTCAGCTCTCCGGAGTGGACGGAACCAGGACCGGCATCAGGTTCTCCATGACTGTATGGGAGATTCCGGAGCTTCCAGGTGCAGGGATCCCAGTAAACAGTGACACAGACAGGGACACACCAGTAGCTGTGCGGGGCTAATGGCAGCTGGCTCCAACACACCCAAATCCCGGAGCACTGGATCATGGACCGGAGCCGGAGCATCGGGCTGAATCACGGACCGGAGTGGAGCGGCGGGCTGGATCACGGACCGGAGTCGGAGCAGAGCTGG